ATATATATATATATATATATATATATATATATATATTGCATTACGCATTAATAGTCGCCTCTATCTATAAAAACAATATTAATTTAAAATTACTTTAATTAAAATTAAATTAAAGCTTTTTACTGATAACAATTATATCATATAATTTTACGTATAATCGGGCTAGAAATTAGTTTGCGTGGGCATTTATTTTACATTAAAAATCTATGAAGAAGTAACATTGCTATTTTTCATCGCAATATTACATTCCTAACCATAAATAAACTATATCTAACCATAAAAATCTAATTAACCCAATCGTATCGATGTAAGAATCACTTGGTTTACCATTTACTAGGCTCGTTTACATAATGCTCTAATGTAGTAAGAAAATAAAAATAAAAGAGGGCACATTTCTTTTCTGCCATTTTCTCCGAAAATTTTCTTTTTCTGTCCTGACAGTAGTCGCATTTCAGTTCGTGTAATGCGAAACGAAAATGTACGTCGATTTCCCTTTAGAGTTCTTCAAGCATGTATTTCGATCCCAAAAGAGGAAATAGGAAGAATCAAATGGAATGAAAACCCTTATCAATCGTGAAAATATGTAAAATATTTTTTCGATAGTATAGATGTAAAACAATAACGGAGAGGACAAATCATTATGCATATTGCTTATTAATTTTGGTCTATAAATTTTTATATTTCCGATATCATTTGATATATTCGATATCATTCCGCTTCATTTGAGCAATTGCAATAAAGTTTGTAAGCTTTTTTAAGTTTCATTAAATGTTTCTAAATGCATCTTTTATTGATAGAAAACAAACGAAATGATATTCAGCAAATGGTAATTAAAAAAAATCATTTTCTAAAATTAAAATGGATCATAAATTACGGCGCAATTCCTTTTGGGAACAAAACTATTGAAATAATCTCATAATACAAAATGAAAGGAGAGAGATCGAGAAAAATAAAGAAAGCAAAAAAAGAATAAAATAAAATCAAGAAGATGAATACTAATGCTTGTTTATTTCATATTTTTTACTTGCATCATTTTATTTCTTAAATTGCTTTGTTTTTAATCTCGTTCCACTAAGCGTATCCTTAAGACTGTGCAATGACAGATTATTTCAGGGGAACTAAAAATAGCTATAGCGTAATTAAAATAATTAAATGACACTGCGGGCAGCAATAAATCTCCTAAACAAAGCATTTAAATATTATTTGAGAACAAAACCAATGTGCTGCAAACAGATTTCACCGGCATTTAGAAAGGAAAAAAGCAGACTCCGTGCCTACATAAGACAAAGAGGGAAGCCAGAGAGAAAAATAGAGAGCGAGAAAGGGAAGGAAAGAAGTGGAAAGAAAGTGAGAGGGAGAGTATCGGCTGATTTACGAGCTGCGATATTCAGTTATCGATGGCGTGTTAGTTCCCCCCCCCCTCTCGCTCTCTCTCTCTCTCTCTCTCTCTCTCTCTCTCTCTCTCTCTGCCTTACTCCCTAGCACATAAAGGGGAAAATAACACTGTGTACGCGAGAGGCACGTGAGTATTCGAAGCTGCGCGGTGTGCGATAACATCGGATTAACGACGGTTGACGTTGCAACGCGTGATCGAGTCTCGATGCCTGCGATTGGTAAATAATTATGTTCGAAAATATTCTCCCCCACCCATGTCTTATATGTGAGAATCGCTGGCTACTCGTTACGCTTTTCCCTGCACTGAATTGCTTATGAATATCCATCTCGTTAACAACCCTATTGGCGACAAATTTCGAAGTTGATTAGTGGCAGCTTCGCTTTGTGCCTTCTTTCGACCTTGGCTGCACCCTTCTTGTATTTATTCTTTTTAGCCGAGATGAAAATTACAGACGCATACGATACTCCAGTCAGAGAGAGAGAGAGAGAGAGAGAGAGAGAGAGAGGCTGATTATTCGAACGGGCAAAGGTTGCGTATGTATCCCTTGCAAGTCAACTTTTCGTTTACGAGGAGCGTCGATCAATCGGTGATTATAGGCTCAAGGCCCGAGACTATTAAGCAAAATGGTTAGCGGAGCTTGTAGAGCTGAGTTTATCGATGGATATTAATGCCGATGTTAATTACTTACGCATAGTTAAGGCTTTAAGACGTAGATGCTCATTAATTATTAATTCTCCCTATCTGCATTGCTGTGTAAATACGTAAATAAAGATGGGAGCAGCCAGCGAGGGTCTCTATCCGAAAATCTACCGTCATCTATAAAACATACGAGGAGCCCCGAGTGAAAAACATCCAATAGAAGCGATAATAAGGCAACCAACCTGACTCGAATGCCCCCGCCTCGCCTCGCCCCGCCCCCCTTCTTCAATATATACGCCACCAGCGAGCGTCTTGCGTTTCGTCGATCATCTGCATTTATTAACGTCATTATCGGCGTCGTCATCATCCTAGCTCTGCTCGCGGCTCATCCTTATTAAATCGAGTCAGAAAAGGGAAGGGGAAAATTGAGCGAGGACAACGATGAGACTGTCACGGTCGTCGACGATCTTTTAGTTCTAATGTACCGATGCACAGAAGAAAATAAAGTGATTTCTTAGTTGTGTTGCCGTGGCTGTAATGGTGCAGCATCGTGAATTCGATTCGTGCATTTAATCGTAGCTGGGCCTCAAATCCATTATGTTCCACGTGAATTACTAATCGAGACGTAAAAATTGTACTGTGACACTAACGATCTGAGATATACGAGTGCACACATACATACTCATTTACATGTGGTCACCGATGCGCGGATAG